CCCTGAGTCAGCTGGGATAGACTCCAGCCCCCCATGACCCTAGTGAGGATTAAGCTGTGTATAGATAAAGGATGGATGGATGGATGTTGCCTTATGCTGAAGAGGAAATGCCCCTGAAATGGGTGTTTAAACAGACAACAACCCCAAACACACTGAGCAGCGAGCAGCATCTTTGTTCCAGACCAACAAGATTCATGTCATGGAGTGGCCAGCCCAATCCTCGGAATTTAATCCAATAGAACAGTTGTAGGGTGCAATCAAAAATACTGTTTCTGAGGCGAAACCAAAAAATGCAGAGGAATTGTGGAATGTAGTCCAATCGTCCTGGACTGGAACACCTGTTCCAGGTACCAGAAGTTGGTCGACTCCATGCAACACAGATGTGAAGCACTTCACAGAAACAGTGGTTATACAGCTAGATATCAGTTCAGTGGTTCACAGGAAGGCTGACTCTTCAAGCGTTTTCCACTTTATACAGTAAATGTTTGTGTTTGTAAAAAAAAAAAAGAAAAAGCAAACTGCTATTTTTTCCAACAGCCCAGTACAGTCATGACTTGATAATCCGACACTAAATGTAAAACCTTCTTTTATGTCGGATTGTCAAGATGGAGGTCGAGAAACAAGGAGGGCTTGATGCTGGAAGGCTCATTTGTTGTTAACATTTATTGTTTATAGTTGTTATAATAACTAGTGTATTGTTAGAACACTACACATCGCTGAATTTCACATCTAATTGACCGGTGTGATTGTGCACGGGCCATCGGTTGACATCAAAGGTAAATACGTTCAGACAGCAGGCTGAAGTGACCCAAGTCCCACTTTTTTTGCCCCTATGCGACATGTATCTGGTCTTTTAAGTCCATTAAGTCCTACAGTGTGAACGTAGCCAATCTGTGGGATTGTTCAGTCAGATAATACGCCGTTATCCTGATTGGTGACATAAAATCTCATGTTGGAGTCAGAATCCAAGGCTGTCAGTATGTTAAGGCTGTTTTTATGGGTTCCGTTCGTTTTTCCTAAAAACCTGTCGGATAGCAAAATGTTTGGATTGTTAAGGGTCAGATTATCAAGTCACGACTGTATTACCCTTTCTTGACTAAAGTAAGAACAATTTTGATAATTTTTTCTTCATGTTTTGGAACAGAATGTGCATCTCCAATGCATTTTCATGTATGGAAATAAAAGCTATTATAAAGACTTTACTCACGTTTTTAAACACACTGCTGTTATTTTGAACATAGCCATATTTTATCGGGGCTGATTTTTCAGCTAACCAAAGTTAACTGGTCATTTTGTGTATCTAACACCAGCCCATGTCGGACACACAGAATGACCAATGCTACATGATAATCATCATTGACCTATCCCATGATCTGTTTGCTAACATGTCCCTTACATGTCATTGGTTCAGGCTGGCCGTCCTTCTTTGACATTGTGAAGGAGGAGTCCGTCACGCTGTCAGATGATTTCTCCTATGGGATGCACAGGGTGGAGACTACCTGCAGCCAGGTACGTGATACAAACAACTTTGTTTTCTCTTTTATCGCAGAGTCTGTGAGCACAAAATGGAATGCATCAACTTTCCTGCAGTATTGTACAGAAAGGGGGAAAAAAAATCAAACAAGCTGCTTAAAATTGTACTAAAAACACAATTAACTATAATAAACAAATATCATTAAGTTGTAAAAAGGACTTCTGCTCTAGAAAAGACAGTCTGACTCTGTTGTTGTGTACTTTTTAGTTTTTAGAGGAAACAATGTCCTTGTACATTGTCGGGGTACGGCATAGAGATCTGCCTCCTTTTCTACTTTTTGAAAATAACTTGTCTCACATCACCACATCAGGCAAGAAATAGCTTTCACTGTGAAGAGGCTGCCAGACGTGGCCACTTCCACGTGTCCACAGGATGTTACAGCATAAGACTCACACCTCGTCCAAAAAATAATGCAAATAATATAACACAGATTACGTTCATGATAAAATATTTTTTGACAGATATCACAGTTGTAATGCTATGCTGTGTGGAGAGAACATGTGCAGATTGTTGCTGAATGCCAGCGATTTCTCTCCCCGTTTGTTTCAGTGTGGAGCTCATCTGGGGCACCTGTTTGATGATGGTCCCAGACCCACGGGAAAACGCTACTGCATCAACTCCGGCTCTTTGGCTTTCCAGCCGAACGACCCGGCCTCCTCCGCCTCCAAGTCCACAGCCGAAGGTGGAGCTGCTAGCAGCTCAGTGAGTGACGGAAAGACAGAGCTCTGAAAGGAAGCATGGGGAAAATCCAACAGTTTTTGAAATATAAAAAAAACATTAGTTGTTTTATTTGTAGTTGACTTTGTAAAGACAGAGGTGATGATATTTTTTGAATGTGCTTCGGCCTCAGTTACAACTCACCATTGTACAATCCAGTTTTATATCTGCTTTTACACAGTGCCTACAAATAAAGGTAGTATACTTGTACACAACCACAAGAAAGCTTTATCAGCCATTTATTGAACTGAAAATGCAGCCTTGGTTTAAGAAGCTAGCATTGCACCCTTTAGTATACATTTCTTTATCTGATCTTCTTGTAGACATTTTGCATAATTAGGGCCCGAGCACTACTACGCAGGACCCTCTTGAAACTGAAGGAATTATTCTTTTGTCTTCTTAGTATTCTTCATGGCTATAAACAGTTGCATTTTCGAGGGCCTGAACATGAAAATTTGCATACACATCAGGACCGACGAAAAATTTGATATTTTTTGGTCATGTGTGTGGCTAAATGGCTCTGTAGCGCCCCCTACATAAGTTTTACATTTGTAGCATCTACTACAGGCAGCACGTTTCACCTACATCCATGAAACTTGGTAAACATATGCAGCACATCCAGACGAACAAAAAAGCCAGTAATGGCCATTGACCCAACAGGAAGTCCGCCATTTTGGATTGTTCGTTTCTCCACCCTGAGCACACTCCTCCTAGTTGTCCATTGATCTCTGACATTTTTGACCCGTCTTCTGGGCAAAATTCCTTCAGTTGCAAGATGCTGGAGTTGTTTTTTGTTTTTTCTATGTACTGCACATTGTCCTGATCTAGCATTGTGAAGCCCTTTAGAAAAGAACTGGCCAAATATGATGTCAGTCGGATTTACTCTGTAGGAGTCTGTTAAAGCACAATGTCTGTACATGACAACAAAAACTGTGCACAATAAATTCACAATGGCAGACAGGAAGTTTGGGTATAACCTACATACAGGAGTTCTATTACAGTCACAAACAGAATTACTGAGCTGTAATAGACTGTAAAGACTCCGTGGGTCTTTCCTGAAACACACTTGAGCAAGTGGACCCAGTCAACCAGCCCTTCCTCATATATCTAGAGAGGAAGACGATTCTTATGTGACATACTTGTTCTAAGCGGTTATTCCTTTCTACATAGGTCATGCTGTCGCTATCCTGTCCCTCTGTTCTTCTATTAACAGGTTCTTTTTGACCCCTCAGAATACATCTGTTTAGGCCGTGGACAAAACAAATGCATAATAAAAAGGGTCACCAGAGTGTTGTAAGTTTAGGGCATCACTTTATGTTGTCTAATCATGAAGACAACAATCTACTCATTCAGTAGCTGAAGATTCCCTTTTGCAGGCACCGCTAGAGTTTCCTTAAAAGCGCTCTACTTGATTCATCAACACAGTGAAGTTTCAGAGCTGAAAAAAATCACACATGAAGATCAAGTTCTATAACAGACATATGAGATCCAAATCAGATGTTAAGTTCCTGGACTACTGACACACGTGTGCTAGGTGTTGTTAGTTTTCTAGCATTCCTAGCGCCTCAATAACTACTTTCTGTTTCATGCCAAAACACAGCAATTTGCTGCCAAGGCTGCAGTGTTTCAACAGTTTCACAATAACGCATCATCAAAATCTTATATATTTTCTGACCAAGCCGTTTCATTCTTCTTCCTTATCGAGCAATATGATCCTAAAACTAGCCTACATGTTGGCCTTTTAAGATTTGCAGAAAGTACCTACCAGTTTGACTTGTGTTTTTATATTTGTTCTTTACTTGCTCCCCAAACTGTTCAACACTGCCAGGGTTGCAGCTAAAAGCAAAAGAAAAGCTAAAACTGCCTTACCTGCCATAAAAATGACATTGGATTTGAGATGTGGCCGACGCAGCTGTGTTACTTGTCGTCTGTATTATATTGGTTGGTTTAGGATTATAGTTAGAATTATCTCTCTGGATCTCTCTATGTTTGCAATTGGTCTTTTATTACAAGCATGGTTCTTTTCATGTGAACACGCTCAAAGCCATGTTCAGAAATCCTGGATTGACTTATCGAGTTCATCACCAGTTTCATGTGAGTTTACGTATATGTGGCCAGATACTGGAAAGAAATCCTCAGTATGTCGAACTTGCTTTATCGTAAAGGCCCGTGGATTGACAATGCTCGTGGCTGTGTTTAGGCACCAAAACTACATGTTTAGGAAAATGGCAAAAAATACCACCCATTCACTACATTATTTAAATTCTGCATTTTCTGGGTTACCAAAGTGAAGTGTCCTGCCCCATCTAATTCATTGTTGGCTGGCTGAAACATACTTGAGATACAATAGAAAAAATAAGTGTAATCAGGCAGATACAGTGCTTTGAAAAGGTTTTTGCCCCCTTCCTGATGTCTTGGGGCTCATCTGGATGTCAGTGTCAGATGAGCCTTCATGTTCTTGTTGGTCAGGAGTGGTTTGGGCCTTGCAGCTCTCCCATGGATGCCATGTTTGCCCAGTGTCTTCCTTATTGTGGACTCTTGTAGACTGATCTGAACTGAGGCAAGTGAGGTCTGCAGTTCTGTTGGTGTTCGTCTGGGTTCTTTTGTGACCTCCTGGATGTAATGTTGACGTAAAATTTTGGTTAATCACTGCTCCATGTTTTCTCCATGTGTGGATAATGGCTCCCACTGTGGTTTGCTGGAGTCCCAGAGCTTAGCAATGGTTTTCTAACCCTTTCCACACTCATAAATATCAATGACTTTGTTGTTGAACCTCTTCACAGCGTGGCATCATGTGCTGCTTTTTCAGACCCTTTAGCTACTTCACAACGTGCCACCATGTTCTATTTAAGAGATATTCAACAAGCCTGGCAGCAATCATACTTGAGTGTGACTTGGAAAACTGAACCAAGTGAATCTGGTCATTTGGTAGCTTGATAGCTAAGGAGGAAATTACTTCTTCACATCGAGCTAGGTGTGGCTGGACAGCATTTTACCTTCAATAAATGAAGTCATCATTTAAAATCTGCGTTTTGTGCTTTCTTGGGTTGACTTTGTCTCACATTAAAATGACTTTGATGATCTGAAACATCTAAGTGTGACAAATGTGCAAAAATGGAAGATATCTGTGGAGGGCAAATACTTGTTCACAGCACTGTACGTTTCCTCAAAACAAGAATGTAATAGGAACGTAATTTTAGAGAGACTGAGATGATCGTGGACAGACATACATACACCATGGAGAGCTTTTGCTATTATAACTTTTAGAAGATTTTATTAGAATATATTTTTGAAGTGATATTTGATACTGAGAAGTTGATTTGACATTGTCTATGCAAGTGGTCTTTCAGCAGTGATGGAGCACACTGGGACAGACCACATGTTATTGTAATGTACTGTTTGTCATCTTCTATATTTGTTCCTTTGGAGTTTTTTGTTCACCGCTTGGATTAAAATAGTCAACGAGTGAATAAAAATATATAGAAACACGGACTTTGTTTTGTTATTTTTTAAAATTGTAAATAGGGCTGTCCACCAAATACAATATCTCACAATAGCTCATCACATGACTGTTCATAGTTAATTTGTAAATTCTCACATTTTGTATGTATTAAAAATGTCTAACAGAACTTTACAGTGTAAACACTCATCAGCATGGCAGCACACAAAATACGCCTGCTTTATGCCAATGTATGGCTTTATTGGAACTCACTCAACATTATACAGTGACAAAGATGGAAAGAAACCAGTACAGGTAGAGCATGCATAACTTAGTTATGTTGCAGTGATTTTCAGTGATACAAGACTTGATATTTGTCAAATGTTTTAACCTGAAAATACATTTATTTTTTCACCAGTCCTCTTCTGATATCAGTCATTGGAACACAGTAACAGTGAAACTGACTGTTTTACCGTTAGGCAGAGAGAGACTGAGTCAATGTGGAAGAAATATGACTATTTCCAACCACAGTAATGGAGCAGCAGCTTCCTGTACTGACTGAAGGAACCAGATCAGCCTGATGATCATCGTTCACTCTTACAATGCGTCCACGTGACACTTTAGCTCACACACACTCATAAATGGTCACATATGAGAACATGTTGGTCTCAGTCTGGAGCCCTGTGTGGGCATATTGCTGTGTTATAACATAAATAACATTATATTACATCAGGTAAACCCTATTATTTATCAGATTAGGAAACATCTCTCGCGGGCCACATAAAATGATGTGACGGGCTGGATTTGGCCCGCGGGCCTTGAGTTTGACATATGTGCGTTAGAAGATGGTCATGGTAGGTGCATTGTGTTCAGGTCATCAGTATTGATCAAGGCTGTTTACGTAAATTGGCAGTGGACCCTTCAGCTGTGTTTGCACCAAATGCAACTCAGTTTCTGCAGCAGGCACAAAAGATGCAGCTTTGCTCAGGAGCTACCTGGTGTCCCTTATGGTGGGGTTTGAGGTGAGCAACAGTATCTGCACCCCAGCCAGCACCAGAGGCTTGATGATGGGAACCTCAAGCCCCAGCTGCAAGCATTTCATAGGTGTAACAACTGCCAGCAAGGGAGAGAAGAACAAGCGACTAAAGCTCAGGGTTCTGTAGAGCACCTCCCTCCCGTCCCATCCACACACTTTCACAAAGCCTGGTCAGCCAGACCCTACTGTTAGCCCACTGCAGGGCAGGATTTGGGAGTGCCCTTCCTTCACCTTGTGAATGATCATAAGCACACATGTATACTGTGGGAAGAACTGTGAAAGTCTTAAGGTAGGTGATGTGTGGAGACTTGCCAGGCAGAGGATTTCCCTTGTCCCCAAGTGGAATAGAGGTCCTACCTCAGCAAGTATCTACACCCTCTGAGATGCAGACGTTCTGTGTTCCCAGAGTGAGGGAACCCATCACTGTAGTACACGGGTTTACCAACATCACCATCAGTGGTGCATAATTCCAGATACCCATCTCACAGGGCCAGTGGAACAGCAAGTTGTCGGTCCTGCTCTTTGACTTATCTCTGGACATTCACCCAAAGCACGGATACAATCCTTGCACCCGTAAGGCATCAGTGGCTCAGGATCCTCACTTACCTCGACAACTGACTGGTCTGCACGATTTCAGAGGGCCCGCTGTCATGTGGCACTACTCTTAGAACACATTTAAGGCCTCTGGCTGCAGTTGAGTTATATATTAAAAACAAACAACAACAACAAAAAAAAATACTAACTCTAGCCTTCCCACGTGAGGATTGCTCCTCATTGATTTCACACTTCCTTAAAAGTGCCTATAGAGGCAGGACTGGAACACTTTTCTCTACATCTATCATGTGAGTATAGCAACACACCTTTCTTGGTGGAGGGTGTGGATCATCAGTTGATGACGAGACTGGAAAGCAACTTGTAAATTGTCTGTATTTGTACTCAACAATATCACTAAATGCTAAACAACACAGCATAGAAAGGTTTAGGTTCCTCTGCCACCAAAGTTTCACTCTACGAAGTCTGAAGAATAGCTGAAGTTGA